ATATATATATATATAGAGAGAGAGAGAGAGAGAGAGAGAGAGAGAGAGAGAGAGTAAAACTCTTATCAACTTAAGTTGATAAGAGCCATTGTCCACCAAACTTTTTAACCGTTGGATGTAAGATCTGATCAAGATATTGATCAAATAAAGATAGCATTAATTATTGAATGTGGGTATATTGGTAAATATATAAAAAAGGAAATAGAGAACCAATTAATGCTTCTTCTCCTCCCCATCATCTTTTATTGTTACAGAGGCAAGACCAAAAAAGGCTTGGGTTTTTATGCTTCTCCTTCTCGATCACTTACGACAATGATGACAAGGAAAAAAAAACTTTTGAGTTTTTGGGCTTCTCCTTCTTGTTTCTTAAAAGATGAGTCTTGCTTTTTATTACCACATCATCGATGCATTGTTAATGTGTGTTTTCTTTGAAAGTCTAATATTGTTCCTAAAGAAAAGTGGAGGGAATGAGAAAGTCGCTTCATGCTTGGTTATTTCATGCTTCTACAATGGCAATAAGGACAAGATGATGTACCCCTTGGAACAAACTCTCTTTTTGTAGTAACATGGAAGACTTTTGGATCACTCACCTTTTGGTTCTTGAGTTTAATTAAAAATATAAAAACAAGTTCTAATAGTGATCTTCTCCAAATATCTTCGTCCTCTTATTCCTTAATGATGCTTCTAGTTGAGCTGTTTCTTTAGCCTGTAGGAATTTTGATATTAGTCCCAGAAACAATTTAAAAATGTTGCACTAAACTGGTAGAAATATTAAACTTTTATGTAATAAATTGATCATATATAGATACCGAGCAAAGGATATAGCTCGCGATCATGTCAGGTTGAAGCGCCAGAGAAGGTTCTCAATGACGGGGAGGAGAAGAAGCATTAATTGGTTCTCTTATATTTAGGGGATTAGGATTAGGGTGCAGGTATCAACACGCTCTTTATATATATTATATATATATTAATCTGTGTGTGATATATTATATAAATATATAATATATATGATATATATATATATATAATACTAATATATATATATATAAGGGATTAGGGATATCGCTTCCATACTCTCTGTCACATTGGGTTCTTATTTTAAGTCTTGAGAATGGAATTTGTTTTAGGGCGGTAGAATGTAGGACTTTGAATTTTTGATACCGTTTAATATTTTTTTTGTTTTTAAAATAATTAATATATTTTTAAGAGTATTTTATATTTTCTCAATTTCGTAGAATTTTCTTGATTTAAAGTCCAATTTTATATTATTTAATGATTTTGATATTATAACTTACTTAGTGCAGTAAAAATTTCTTGGAATTAATTCCGTTGTTTTATCGATACTATTACGTATCATTTTGAATATATATATATAGTACCTATACTATATATATATATATACACCTTTAAAAGAGCTAGTTCCTGAAAAACTTTCTCATTCCCAAATTAACCTTCAACCAAATTAGATATACCTAATTTCTCCCAACGTTACAGAAAATTCGTCATTAACATCGGGAATTTCACACATCGGTTACGCATTCCTCTCCGTCTTAGCCGAAGAGTTCATCGTTTTACCTTCTCTGACAAAGCCAAAGTGTTTGCAAAGATGATTATTATTCATAGCTTACCCTTCTCAGCCGAAGCCGAAGCGTTACAGAGATTCTCAAAGCTGAGTATTTGTTCAGAATTTCCGAATTCATCCACAAAATTTTCAGATATTGGGCATTCAGGAAGGTATTTTTTTCTTCATCTTCACTCCTCTATACAAAACCCTAACTCTAAGCTTTAGTTTTTCTCAATTCACTCTATCCCCTTTCAGTTCTTCAGACCTTTAATTTTGTTATAATTTTGACCTAATTTTCGATTTCCTACAGTGTCAATCGACAAGGGTTTAAATATTCCAGCAGTAGGTGCATCTGTTGTGATTTCTTTCCTAAATTAGGTATTTCTTGTTATATATCTGCTTTTCATTCAAATTTTACTGAAGTTATTGTTACAATACGCTCAAGTTTTGATTTACAGTCTTTAATTTACAATAGATGCAGATTGTCTCATGTTAAAAGGGTGCTAAATCAATTTTAATTGCCTGTAACCTGTTTTTAATTTTTAATTATTAATTTTTGATCATATGTAAAGTGGACATGTGCATATCAATTGTCAATATTTGTTCTAATTCAACAATAGATCAAGGATTGTCTGAATTAGGCCTTGCTTCAAGTCTTCATATTGCTCCTTTGTCAGTTTCATCAGGTAAAAATTAAATTGTTATATTTTGTTAAATTATGGTTTCTGTCCTTTTAGTTAATTTTGAATTTTGATGAATTAATTTTTTTTAGCTGAATTGAGGGAATTAGGGGTGGAGGACTTGATTAGATAGTATTTTCAGACACAAGAGGGGAAACTTTATTGAGTTAGGGAGGGCTAGATTTTTTTTCCTAACTGTATCAGTTTTTCTCCAATTTCTGGTGAATAATGAGTTGTATTTCCTCTTTGACAGATGTTTTAGGTTTAGGATTTTGTTCTGTAAACTTCACTAAAAATCCTAATCTACTGTGAGTAAGAAGTCATACCCAAAAAAAAGTCACAGACACATATAACAAAATGCAACGTACTAATGCTCTAAAGTGATGACATGTTTGCATGATGCGGGCCTTTCAAGGTTTATGTTAGATAATTAATACACCACAATGTTCAGTTCTTAGTTTAAGGACCAAGTACTTTCCAGACAATCAGGCATCCAGCCACATACATAGCGAAGATTAAATTCTGATTATCAATATGCCAATATTAAATCATATACATGTGCACATCATGTACTCGGTTAGACCCTATACATTGTTTATGCCTTCAGTAGAGAAACAGAATGTTTTTATAAGAGTAAATTGCGGATAAAACCTCCTCATCTATTTCAGTAGTCCCTCAACTCGTTTAAGTTACCTGCCAGGTTTTGATTCTGACTCCATTTTGAGTACCATGAAGTGTAACTGTATCCATGAAAACATTGCTGACACGGTCCCTGGAGTTATTAGCTCCTAAACTTCCAATGCTATTCACCATAATAAAACACAACTGTGTAAATATTGTGTGTTAATCTTCAAAGGTTTGAAACTGGTAGGAGTCAAAAGTATTAGAATATCTCATTTTCCCTGTATTGATTCTGAACAAAGTCTATCTATGCAAACATGCTTTCCTGAAATTAAGCAACATACCAAAATTCCAATTCCAATTATAACCCAAAGTCATTCCAGTTCAACCTCATAATAAGTTTTTTCTCCAATTTCTTGTGAATAATGAGTTGTATGTCCTCTTTGACAGATGTTTTAGTTTCAGGGTCTTGTTCTGTAAACTACACTAAAAAGTTTGTTCAGTGCTTAGCGTGCATTACTTGTTACATGTTGATATTACATATTTTATATTCTTTAGTGTGCTTAAAGTAAGTGTGTGCAATACAGGTTCCCCAAATGTTCTTATTCTGGACACTTTAGGCTACTTGACTGCAACATTGCATATCCATGTAATATTAACTTTTGCTTTAATCTTGATCTGTTATGATCAAGCTATGAGATTTCCATAGCATGCCAAAAATTATATCTAAAGAGACAGAGAAACCACCTTACCCCCAGCTCTTGTCCATCAATGTTCAACTTAGTTAGTAGACGTAGAAATCGAAGAATTCCTTCAGCAGCTTCAAATTCACAAAAGCCAAAACTTGTAGGAGAGCCATCAGAGGGATTTTGAGCACGTTTCCAACTCTTCACTGGTCCACAAAGCTTCAAGAGATGACAAATTAGGAGTACGAAAATTTCCAGATTTAAGCACATAAAAAAGATAAAGAGAGACAATATCAACAAATAAAACATGAATCATAGTCGCCTTTTGTTACAAACATCTAATAGCATAAAGGTTACAGTCTTACAGATTTACTAAAGTTTGTTCAGTGGAACTTACTCGAAGAAGAGAGAGGAGAAAATCATTATCAACAGTTGGAGCTATCTTGCTAACATACACTGTTGTTTGTGGTTTCTCAGTTGCAACAGCAGGAACAACAGGCCTGACAACTGGAGAAACCACAGGAGGACCACGAATTCCAGGAATAGGAGGTCGAAGAATTTGCGGAATCACACCCATTTGAGGCAGCGGACGAGGAGGAAAGCCAGGGCGAATCATAGGTGGGTATGGTCCAGGATAACGAGGAATTCCTGTAAAAAAAACAAATAACTATGCGCGCTTGTCAGAACATATTGACAAACCTAATAACTGATTAGTCAGACCAAACAAATCAGAAATTGGGTAATATTCAACAATACACCCATTATTCCAACATCAAATCAAGTAACCACATCTCAACATAGTATCTTAAGCATTAATAATAAAGTACATTGGATCAAAGAAACTGATCCAATGTCTATTAGGTGAAAATGCATATTTATTTGATATGGAAATTTTGATATATTTCTTCCTTCGCTCTATGCTTTGAATCTTTATGCTGTGAGCTAATTATTTATAGTAATTTCAATAACATTTTCATTTACTTTGTAATGTTTGTCTAGATTAGATAATTTACCATTTTTTCATATTAATGCAGATATTCTACTTGGTTGGATTTGCCTTGTTTTTTTTTAAAAAAAAATTTCTAAAGTTGTCGGTGATTCAGGTTAGTTAAGCAACTTTCTTCTCTTTTCTCTTTATTTTGTTCATAGTGATGGTAACTCTATTTCCTTGTATTTATCTTCTTCTACACTTAAATATTTATTATTATTATTATTATTATTATTATTATTATTATTATTATTATATGACTTCAAAAAACAGAATTAACCTTAGCATATGAGATATTTGTGATTAATGATGCATGTATAGTGTATCAAATTTATCAAAAAAACCTTAAATACTATTGAACCTGTTGTGTGCAACTTGGCTTCAATTGCTTTACCACGATTTGTTAGGGATAAGGTATGAAATAGGTTTTGATGAAATAAGTCTCCCGTAAGCTCTCACCTAATGGTTGATAATCTATTCATTCATTTTTCAGGATGTTCCTATTGAGTCACATCCATCAAAGTTGGTTGGAAGCATAGGATCAAAGAACAGATACTTTGATTTCTATAAACTGGCTGAGGTTTGCGATTTAAAGGATTTATTAAGGTTCTTGAATTGGATGTGGGAGGCGCTGAGGATGAGCAAGAATGACCTTATCCAGCATGCGGGGCTCGATTCTGTTATCTTTTTTAGGATCTACATTCTCGGGTATTTTTTGCGATTTTAAGGATTTTTTTATAAAGATTGTAAGTGTAATTTTCGTCAAGATTTCGGTATTGAAAAGAATTGGTGAGAATTTTGGCTGGAATTTTCCTTAATTTCTGCAGAATTTGACTATGAGTAATCTAATCCATTGTTGAATTGAGCATTTTGCATGAAGGATGGTGAAAAATGAAGCTAAATATTAGAATCTTAATTAACGGTGTAGTTCATCAACTTGTTGGAAATATGAATTAGTCTATGTTTATTCCATATTAAGAAAGGGAAATGTAGCTGATTCTTATGACCACGCAGGGTTTGTTATTTTTATTTTTTTAGATCTTTTTGTTATTTTTAGTGTTTTGATTGAAAATTGTAAAAAAAAGCTTTTTTTATGCAATAGAAAGTCTCTCATGTTAAGTTTGACATCTAATTCTCTCAAAAACAACATATTTGACAGCTTATAGCGCAGTAGATCTCAATTGAAGTCTGTATAGAAGCTTTACTTGAGATCTGAAGGATATTTGTTATAGTATAATTTTAGACTTTGAAATGTGATAATAAAGTTAAAAGATTTAAACTTGTTGCTGCTTCATTCATATTGAAAGTACTAATTGGATCAAGAAGTTCTTTGAATTCTGTTTAAACCGTAAAATTGTTGGCTTCAATTTGGTCTGACTTCTAACGGTTAAAAAAGAATTATTTCTGCCAGAATAAACCAGCTAATCTATGCTAAGCAGTTTTTATTTTTTATTTTCTCTCTTTTCATTTTAATTTTGTGTTTGTAAAGAGCAAAGTAGGGATTTTATTTGTAACCATTAACATATTTGTTGTTAGCCTATGATATACTATGCTTTTGGGGCAGTTGTTGTCAATTGAAGTCGGATTGTAATAATTCCTTACTTTCATCTTGGAAAACTTTACCATGTGTGAGGAGCAATATTCTGATTCCTTGATAGAATTTTAGCGGGTTTTATTTTATGTAGCAGAAGAATTATTGAGCAGAGATGGTTCTCAGAGGAATTTTATCTCATGTACGTTACTGGCTTAAGTTGGATTCCACGGTGCTTGACAACAACTTGTATCTAACTTTGCCCTTAAACCTGTGATCTTCTTTATTATCGATTAAAGGTCGCCATAGCCTGTTTAATGATTGATCACTTGTGTTTCTCAGTTCCAAATATCTTCAACTTATATATTTTGAACTTAATATATAAGTCAGGGATTTAACTTAGATACTCCGTTTAATTAGTACTATGGACTTAATATAATTATTTTGGTTAAAATTTAGGTTCTGGTTTCACCTGTCAATAGAATACTTGTTCACCATATGGACTTGCTACGTCGTTTACAAGGAGTATGGACATATAGCCTTCATGAGATTGCATTTTATAGCATCTCAAGATCGTCATGCTGCTCAGTTCAATGTAAGTACTGGTTAAGTTAATTGCATCACATTTTCTATTTCTTTAAGTAGAGATAAGTTGATTCGTAGACAAAGGGGAAAAGTAAAGCAGAAGTAACATAAAACATAATCAGAATTTTGTTAAAGTAGGTTACTTTTGAAAGATTTCAACTGCATGATAAAGATGTGACGGCTGATTCACAAGAGAAATTAATCTTCCATTTAGCAAGTCCTTGAACAACATACTAACGTATCTGGTGATATCTATCTGTTGCACATGGCCTTTGCTACATCTTCTTGTTGTGCTATTTTCTCGAGGGCTTCTCATTCATGTCATATATTGGTAATTTCAGTATTAAAAAAAATTGTGGATTACCAGATCTTGTTAGGCTATCAGATGCATACTTTTCTTTCCTTACTAAATATTAATAAATACATACACAATAAGCAAGCTTTGACAACCTGACACTCAAACCATGGCAAACATCAAATTGTTGGGTCCTCTACCTGCTCCTAGAGCCATTTCTTACTTCGGTAGTAACTCATGAGTAAAATCATATACTTCTATCTGAATGTCTATGGTTTATTGAAGTCTATATTTGTTCTGCTTGAACTATCGCATTGGAGAACATTAATATCTTTACTGTGATGATTTTGCCACCTGTTGAGTGATTGTCATCCAATGGTTTAAATAAGTTCACCTTGATCTAACTATGTCTACTATGATTTCACTTGAAATGTTGAAACATAAGTTTTATCTCATGTTGCACCTTTGTACAAGTTAATCACTTACAGTAGTCACTTACTACTTCGAATTTATGATTTAGTTTGTTCATTTATCTATTTATAGGTAGTTGTCAGAAATATCCCACATGTTTCTGGCCACTCTATATCAGAAAGCGTGGATCAGTTTTTTCAACGGAACCATCCTGAACACTACCTTGGCCACCAGGTAATATATGTTTCTCATGATAATTTTACTATCCTTATAGTGTTTATAAATATCAAATTTCTCTTCCCTTATTGAAAATTCCCTACGTGTTATTTTGCTCTTGAATTATTTAGTAACATTCCCTTTCTTCATCGAACATGTAGAAAACTAAGTCAATAATTATTTATAATGTGTTAAACTATTAGTTGAACTGGTTTTGATAACATATATATGATAAATCAATTCTCGATTAATCCAATCAAACACATTTAACAATAATATAATCATATTTCTTCATTTTAGCGAGTACCTTATTGGGTAAATTAAAGGTCTACACATGATTGCTAGAAATATTTTTAACCAAAATAAATAAAGCTTGTTTTATCCTAGAAATACAAAGTTAGCTTAAGCTATGTCGAGCTATTAAAATTAATCTTTTAATCATTTCAGCAACTAACACATGAAGAATGATGTAGTTACCAAGTAACTCAAAAGACATAAAGGTGATAAATAGAAATATGCAAAAGATCAACATAGTTTTATTGATAATTTACTGATTGCCTCTTTTAAACTATTTCAATTTTTTATTTTATTTCATAGACCCTGTTTATTTTCTTTTTGCTCAGGCTATTTATAACGCAAACAAATTTGCCAAACTTGTTAGAAGAAAGAAACGACTTCACAACTGACTGGACTATTATCGTCTCAAACTTGAGAGACAACCATATCATAGGCCCACTATAAAGGTTCCTTAACTTAAAACCTGTTTCATCGAGAAAAAACATTATCAAGAGGATCTTCCTCTAACCATGATAGTTCTTCTAATCTTACTAATGATCCATCTTATTCTTTGGTATGTCAGAAAGGATTTCTTGGGCTTTGTGATGTAAGAACGGATGCAATTGACTACTATAGTGAAAGCATCTACAAAATTGACAAATACGTAAGTCCATTATATTTCCTAAGAAGTTTCCTGCATCACTTCAGACATAAGTACTTCACAGGTTATTAATTTATGGATGTTAATGAGAGAGTAAGTTACATCATCATATTGATTAACCCTGAGCCTTTAATAGATGCATTTTCATATGAAAAAACTAATTTCCAGCTTTGTTGTAAACTTTTCTTTTGTCTTTTGGTTCAGTTAGTAGCAGAGCATCAGAGAATTCTCAAATATCTAAAATCTATCATGACTGTAGCATTTGTTTCATTTGACTCGAGATTGGCTGCTGCTATTTGTGCTCAAACTCAGCAAAGTAGGAACCCAACAAGCTAATTAACTTACTGGGCACCAGATTTACGCGATGTTTACTGGAAGAATCTAGCTATACAATTTGTTTCTCTCAGCATCAGAAAACTGCTTATATCATTATCTGTGTTCGCTCTGGTATTCTTTTACATGATACCTATTGCTGCCATGTAGTCACTGGCGAATCTCGATGGTCTGGAAAAGGTGGCTCCTTTCCTCAGGCCTGTGATAGAGATGTAAGTACTTCTGTCTTGGGATTTTAATAAAATTATGAATAGGTCACTACCTTAGTTTACTTAAGCAGGGAAGAATGCTTGTTCTTTGTCTGATTTTATAATGAAATCTACAAGTTCTTATGCTCCTAATCTTAATTCATATCAGATGAACCTTATTTTTGACTCAAGTATCAATTTATTTTAAGTTTGCACATTATTGTTGTACGTGATTCTGAATAAACTAATTCATTGATGAGATAGATGCAATTGCTTCCAAGCGAGAAAACCTTTGTACGTGATTCTGAATAAACTAATTCATTGATGAGATAGATGCAATTGCTTCCAAGCGAGAAAACCTGCAAAGGGAGATGGAACAGCTGATAGTAACAAAACATATGCCTTGCATGGATGAATAACATCACACTCAGTCTTCTGATGATTCCCAAAAACATCTGAGAAGAAGCTTGGTTATGTTCTTGTTATCGGAGCAACAAACAAACAAAATGCAATTGACCAACCTTTAAGGAGAGCTGGACGTTTTGATCGTGAGATTTCTTTGGGTGAACCTGATGAAAAAACCACTGCTAGAGATCTTGTCAGTTATTACTCGAAAATGTAAATGTGTGTTTTGGAGAGAGTGGAGTCAATGAGATATAGTTTTATATAATAATTATGTCCTTTTGAACTTTTAAGTATTTCATAAAATTATAAGCTGAGTATTGCATGATTGCAATGTTAGCTGATCAATGGATTCCTATCGTTCAATTGCATTGCAAATGAGCATGGTTTTGGTTGGGATATTCACATGAGTTGGAAAGAGAAAAAACAAAAAATATGTTGTTTATCTAACTTTGTTTTGGATGAATCCTTAGGTACAAATTCATGTGAAAATAAACTAAACAATATGATGCTTTTGGTTATATGTCATGGCATCTGTAGAATTTTATTTTCGTTCAAATAGAGTATTTAACTTATGTAGAGTATACAATTAAGTAATTAACTATGATTTAAATTTATCTACAAGGAAGTTCATGTTTTTATCAATCTATTTCCAAGGGTTAACTTCATGACCGCTATAATTCATCAATCTAAAGGTAAAAACAAAGATCATAAACCACTATACCAAATCTTTCCATAAATATAATTATAATTAAAATTAATATTATAAATTTTACCACGTGCATTGCACGTGCAATCTAACTAGTGAAAATAAAAGCCCTAGTTTCAGCATTGTAAATAAAAATAAAAATAAAAAGAAATTTGTTTCTGTTTTGAGTGAAGGGCATGAAATGAAACTTAAAGATTGTCTTAAAGTTAGAAGAATAAACGAGAATAATTAATAAAAATATAATTACTTATATTTAAAATCAAATAATTATAAGAAAATTATCTATACAATAAAACGTATCAGTTATACTAATACAATAGATAATATGCAATAATAGTAATAATACAATAAATTATACAAAAAAATACGTAATAATAATACAACGTATTATACGAAATAATACGTAATAGTAAAAATAATGCAACGTATTATTCAAAATGATACGTAATAGTATCGATAACACAACGGATTAATTCCAGAAATTTTTACTGCACTAAGTTAATTTATAAATATCAAAATCATTTAAATAAATATAAAATTTAGACTTTTAAATCATAGAAAATTCTAGAAAATTGAGAAAATATAAATACTCTTTTAAAAATAATAATTAATTATTTTAAAATACAAAAAAATTTATTTAAACTGGTATCAAAAATTCAAAGTCCTTACATTCTACCCCCTTAAAACAAATTCCATTCTCAGAATTAAAATAAGAACCCAATGACAGATATGGAACGATATCCATAAGCAGAGGAGACAAGAAATAAGAAGCAGTGGGAAGTTACGAGATAAGAAACAGTGGAAAGATCCGGAGTCAAAAGTGATAAGGTAGGGGCTAGGACATAATTCGTCGAGATGATAGGTTAAGGGCTAACTATAGTCTTACGGATAAAATATGATATGCGTCTAAATTGTCCATTATATTCTCACTAGTAGGAACTCGGGACCGTGATCTGCATGGGCCACCACTAAAACCTGTCACGTCCCGCTTTCCAACATACCGGGGAATCAGAAATAAGGTGTAACAATAAGTTTCACCAATCACAGCAATATCCTCTAGTGGAATCAAAACAAGGTGCATGTACAAAACATGCAAAAGAAAGGAAGTAACTGCAATGGACATGATATAGAAAGGAGTATCTCATAAATAAATCATGTCTCAATGAACAACCTGTAATACATCTGATATCTGAAATAAATAAATACGTCTCAACATGAATCAACTGAAAATGTAATTAAGGCTCATAGCCTTTATAAAATGTGATACTAAAACTCTAATGTCTGAATAGAAATAAACTCTAAATAACTCTACTGTGGAGTCTCTACTAGTAACTCATGTGATGGCGACTATGTAATAACTCCGTCACCCTGCGGCTCTCCGATGCTCTAAACCGCCTGAAAGGAAAATAAAATAAAAAGAACAATAACAAAAGCATCAGAGGAGCTAAAGCAAGATCACCTCCATCCGCCCCCAGGGGAAGGGCCACTACATGTAGTGGAGGCTTTATCTATTAAGCATAGTCTACTTAAATTATTTTTCCCGTATCTAATGGCCTCAATACTTAGAAATCTACAACACGAGACGTAGTACGTCGAGCGAAGTAATCCAAACAAGGAACCCTCATGTATATACCATATGTCTCAAATAGTAGATAACTAAATATTAATCCCAAACTAGAACTGAAAGCAAGAAATACTGGAAATTAAAGCCTCATAACCAATGTCATCTTATGTATCTCATGCACTCGCATAACATAATATGTTGGACATCAATTATCTCAACAATGAGTCATGTCTCATTTGGTGTCCGCCAAATACTCTGCTATCAAGTTATAAAAGTCATCACTTTTCTAAAATTCTCAACTAACCGCGCCTCGTGCAAAACAATAAATAGTCTTATCAACCTCTACGCATAATCATGCGGAAACAAAGACATGGGTTCATCAACCTCTGCGCACCTTAAAGCGGGAACAACAACATAGGTTCACCGATCTCAGCGCACACTCGTGCGGATACGATAATATAGGTCCACTGACCTCAGCGCACACTCGTGCGTATACGATAACATAGGTTCACAAACCTCAACGCATACTCGTGCAGATACGATAACATAGGTTCACAAACCTTAGCACACATTTGTGCAGATACAATGTCAAGAGAAAAGTGTACTGGAAACCATACTTAACCAAAATCCCCCTCTAGGGTATCAACACGTGTACTATGACACTATTCATGAATAAATATGACCACATATGTACTATCATGCAAATCAGGCCTCGTGCTCGCATTTCGAATCAAAACAACACTAAGCTTAGTATTCGACTACACCGAGTCTACCAAGACTCTGTAGAACATAAATCAGTATTAGTAGTTGACTATCTTGTACATTAGTCGACTACTCTCTAATCAGACAGTTTTTGTAAAACCAAACTGGATATGAGTAGTCGACTACTACTCTTAGTAGTCGACTACTAAGCAGAAACATGCACATCTTCGTGTACATACAACACATAGCAATTGTCACGTATTTATCATGCTTTAATATAGTACAAAGCAAGTAATTACAAATTAAAAGAATCATCTCCATAATTATTTAAACCCTTAATTCGACTAATTAGGTTTAACCTTCACATTAGTCAAGAAATTGACATAAACCCTAGTTATCGATTAAATTAACATGAACATGCTTGCATATTAAGCTTGAAACTTATACAATTTTGTTTATTCACATTTACAGAGTCAAAATACCCAAAACCTAGGGTTTAATCAGACTTAATTAACATGTAAGCTCTTTATATCACAAGGTTAGGGTTTTGAGCATGATTAACATATAGAAAACAAGATACAAACGAAGATCTACATCCCCTAATGATCATGATCATGTTTCTATTATAAATAGTAAGAAAAACATGTAGATCTAACATCAGGTTAAGATTTTATATCAAAAATCATCTTTTTATCATGTTAAGAAGTTAAATCTAAGCATCAAAATATCCATATTACTTAATAACCCAAGATCTACACTATGGGTAAGGTTTGGATGAATGAGATCTTGCCTCAAATGTCGTGTTGAGAATCTGGACACGCGTGCAAGATCCCTCCTCGCTCAAAAGCATGCAATCTCGCCCTCCGCTCAACGATTCGCCTCGAATCTCCTCGAGGAACACCAATAATAATTTCTAAGGTTTGAGGGAAGATGGTGGCTGGTAATTCACGTGAAAATTCTCAGGAAAAAAGGTCTAAACATGTTTGTATACTTAGGGTTAAACCTGAGTTCGAATATAAACCAAAAATGACCCGAAACCCAATAAAAATCTAAAAATCAGCCTGATTAGTCGACTAATGGCCTTAGTAGTCGACTAATAAGTCGACTACTAAGCTTGGTAATAGACTACTAACAACACAGATTCAGTCTGTTTGGGAAAATAGTCTTCGGTTTTTTGGCTGTAACTTTCACATCTGATCTCGGAATGAGGTAATCTAAGATTTGTTCAAAAGATATAGAAGAGACCTACAACTTTGATCTTTTGAGTGTTTCTAGCTTCTAACTGCATCGGTGTGTAAAATATATAAACTCTTAACTGATCATTTTTTCTGATTTCTTCTTCATGCATGATTTGTGCATTTGCACTCATATATTCATACATATACATTGAATTGATCTCAAATCAATTCTTAGCATACTCAAATATCAAAATATATTATTTATCACATATAACATATTTATTATTATTTATCACATAATATTCAAAATTTTGGGGTTTTACAGTGCATGTTTAACCTTTGTATACTCTCATATATACTCTTAATTGATCTCAAATCAATTGCTAATATACTCATTCATTAATAAATGATATTTACTATAATTAAAACTCATTTATCAATATAAATAAAAATATTTTCAAAATTTACGGGGTTTTACACAATGTTATGCAAGAGACCAAACCAAGGGGGTTGTGGGAAAGACTCGTGGGGATTTATACATTGAAGTCGATGACTAACTAATTGTGTTTGAGGATGAACCTTTATTCATTGAAGATATACGAAGGTACTACAAATCAAGATCACATCAATGCCTTTAATCAGCTAGTTTGCCAAGTTATAAATATTGATGAAGAGATTGAAGAAGAAGAGCATGCGCTACTCCTATTGTCTTCCTTGTCGAAGTTGTACAAGCCATTAGTTCAAACGATAATTGTAGAAAAGTAGACTTTAAAGTTCGATGATGTGACAACACTCCTAGGTGAGAATAAAAGAATGATGGGAAAGGAGAGTGCATTTAATGGTGGTGAGAGTGCATTAGCTTTTGAAGGTTCTAATCGAGAAAGGAGTAAGAGGAGATGTAATAGTCATTGACGAAGGTCAAAATCTCGAGTCCGAGATGACAGTGAAAGGGAATACTATTATTGCGGAGAGAAGGGTCATATTCCATTCAGATGTTCTCAAATGTGAGATGATTTGAAGAGTATTAGACATATGAAGCTTTAAGAAAATGAGAAGAAGGTGGACTCCTCGGCAGTTGTGTGTGATGAAGATGTGGTGTTGTTGATGCAGAGTACAAGTACTGATGCGAGTAATACTTGGGTGTTAGATTTCGCAGCTTCTATGCACGTTTGCAACACTAAAAATTATTTTAACACATTGAAGGTAGATGAATAATTTGATGACGTGATCGTCGGAAACAACGAGAAGATGAAGGTTAAAGGCGTTGGGAGTGTTCGCCTTAAGCTTCACACTGGGAAAGTCAGAATTCTTCATCATGTGAGATATGTGCTGTCATGTGGTGCTAATTTAATTTTGTTGGATGAGTTAACATCGTGTGAGTATAAGTATGTGGGTGAAGGAGAGTTGTACAAAGTGTACAAAGATAGTGATTTGATTTTTCAAGGGAAGAAGAATAACAACCATATTTGCTATTTAGATGGACGATCTGTTAATGGTGTAGATGACTCTTCTCGGACTCTTGTCCACAAGAGAGAGGTGAAGAACAAGAAGTAGAAAGTGAGTTTTTTTTGAAGCCGTTGAGACACTTAAAGATTTTTCGTTAAGGGAGGGTATGTTGAGTACCGACTCAAACTCCAAGTCGGAAGTGGGTTTGAAGGCTAGACCCAGTCTTAGTGGTTTTCTTAGAGGCCACGTTAACTTGGTAGACAAGTCAATGATGTCTTTAAATAAGGACTCCTATTTCTAGGGTTTTGATGCAGACAGAAAGAGAGAGACAATATTATTATAATTAGGATTTAATAGAGAGTGTAACTTGGTTCAAGGGTATTGTGAGAGAGATGGTTTAACAACCTTTGTCTGTGCAAAAGATTGTAATTTAGAGGTGATAGGGGATTGCTTTCGCTTCCGTGGTTTTCCCTGTCGAGGGTTTTGCACGTTAAATTTTGTGTGATTCTATTTGCTGCGTTTGGTAATTTTCAGAGTTTTTACGAGATCCAAAAATCCCAACAACCTAATCCAAAATCTAACCCTAGTTGGATTTTGAACCCGACACCCCCTTTCATTTTTGAGAAAGTGTTCAAGGACACTTGCCTTCGGCAAATGTACTTGCCTTAGGGCTTATTTGGATTGAGGGGAATGAGGGTGAAGGGAAGTTAGGGGAACCATTCACCTCCATTCACCTTGTTTGGGAATATTTAGGAGGTGAAGTTATTCACCCTAGTTCCCCTTGGTTCACCCCCTAATAGTATAAAATTTGTTACCCCCCAAATTGGGGTGTAACCAAGGGGAAGCGAACTCCCTTCCCTTCCCTTCCATTCTCTCACCTAGTTTCCCTTAACTTCCCTTCACCCCCTACAAATCCAAACAGGTCCTTAATACAATTGCCTACGGTGAGTGTCCTTAGACTTTCTCCTCCTTTTCCTAATGATTAATAAATGGTGTCTGGGAGGTGAGTTAAACCCACTCAGCAGTGACTACCGCACCTCAAACAAAAATCCAACTCCCCGCCTGCACGGTTCGACAACCGTCCAAAAGGGCTCATCCAAAAATCCAACTCCCCGCCTGCACGGTTCGACAACCGTCCAAAAGGGCAAAATCCAACACCCCGCCTGCACGGCTCGAGGTTCGACAACCGTCCAAAAGGGCTCATCCAAAAATCCAACTCCCCGCCTGCACGGTTCGACAACCGTCCAAAAGGGCTCATCCAAAAATCCAACTCCCCGCCTGCACGGTTCGACAACCGTCCAAAAGGGCAAAATCCAACACCCCGCCTGCACGGTTCGACAACCGTCCAAAAGGGCTCAACTGAAAATCCTACTCCCCGCCTGCACGGTCCAACATGTGTCAAAATGCCGTCCTCACGACGCAACTACTCCAGCGCGTACACTTTTCGCTTTTACGACCCAACGACCTCCGGGATTTCCTCCGCCAATGGCCACACTCCGTACACCCGGGCATCTCCCTAAATTACCAAAAAGCCCTTCTTCACTCTTCACCCTCCTCCTCTGCTTCTCACCCTTCCTAATTATGCCTTCCACCGCGCAGCCCCCTCCCTGCACCGGGGGCCCCACCAGGCCCACCACCCCTCTCCTCTCCTTCCTCGTCCACCTCCAATCAGAAGCCCTCAAATCCCTGGGCCCCACAGACTTCGACCCCAAACTATACGTCGACCTCCCCCTCAGGCGCCCTCTCTCCGTCACCGAAGCCGCCTTCGCCGATCTCCCTCGCGTCAACGGGTCGATACCCGTCCCCGATCTCCACCGCTTCGTTATGGACTACTTCCGGGAGGCCGGGTCGGATATTGTGGAGGACGTGCCCTAAAATTTAGGGCTGAAATTCCAAAAGTTTAGACCCCAACCCAATAACCAAAGTTTTGATAAGGGTATGTGGACGTTAAATTGAAATTTGTGAAGGGGTCTATATGCAAAATTGGCTAAATTCTACAAAAGGGCTCATTTGTAAAATTAACCAAAATTGTGGGGTATCGGGGGGTGCTATATGATCAGATATGATGACCATGACCCAACCCGAGCGTGTCCTTGACCCGAATTTAGCCTTGAACACGAAGGGTATTTTGGGTATTTCACCAAAATTCACCGCGAAAAATGACAATCATTGTTCCGCATGCACGAAATTTGTAGGTTTAACTAGACTTCAATTATGAAATCCTATTTATGCATAGGATTTTAATTAAAGTTCTTAATTTCCCTTTTAAATTTCGTGTATTCATATTTTAGATTGTGCCTGACTTGCTGCTTTTCGTTACAGATTTTCAATGTCTCCACGCCGATCTCGACCTCGTAGGAGTCGTTCTCATTCGCAGCACAGCGAGGAAGAGGTTCCCGCGACATCTTCCCCTGCGGCCTCTTTCTTCGGGGGTGAGAATTTATATTTTCCGTATCCCTGATTGACCTCTTTGCGGGTCATGAAGGAAGAACCGACACCCTCCTTCGCGGGGGTTAAGGTTTCAGACTTGTCTTGCTTGGCCAATTCAAGTCTTGTGGTATATTGGGGTGATTTCGTGTTGTCCTACACCTTATAGGTCGGTGTATGTTACCACGTTATTCACGAGATGATGCATACCGTTCTTCCAGTGTAGGACATCCAAAATCATCTCTCCAATTATTCCGTGAATGAGCTTATCATTCTTCTTATGAGATGGATTTTTTGACTCCACTCTTGTGCTTTATTGCAGTGGAGTTTCCTGCGGGCAGCCTTCCTCCTCATGCTAATACCGGTTGTAGCCGGGAGGTCTTCTCCTCAGCTTCCCTTAGGCAGGCTGTTAGTCCACTTCCTCGGTTTGACAGAGATCGCTCAGACGAATCTTGTCATTTGATACAGGAAGGAGGGCATCATTGCCTGCGCCAGCTTATTACAGATGCCCCCTTCACCACGGATTCTACCTCCACTCAGGCTTTAAAGAAGCCGAGTTTCCTATTCGGAGATCACGTCGAGGATCCTGCTACGTTGACCCTTGGCGAGGAGCACTGGCTGACTCTCGACGAGGGAGCTCCCTTGTACATCCCCTCCATTCCACGCCAATATTCTTTCAGTCCCTTGAAGGGACAAGCCGTGGAGCGACAGATGTCTTGGCATCTTACTGATGATGCTGAGCGAGTTCAGTATGGATATGCCACTCACCACAAGACTCCTGGCTCTAACGGGTATCATGACGTTCGTGGTCTTTGACCCGGGATTATGGGCCTTAACACTGCACCCCCAGGCGAGGTGTCAGCAGCTGCTTCTACTGTGAGTAACCGTCTGGTTCTTCTTGGGAGACGGTTACCTCCACCGGATTACAGATGCTACGGTTGGGCTTCCTCACTAGCCAAGGGGTGGTGGGCACGCATGACCAGTTTTGTCTTAGCGCGCTGGGAGAGGGATTTGAAGAGCAGTGGGTTGTATGCACCTATACGAGCCTGTTCGCGGGGAAAATGGTTTTCTTCTTCATTGAAATAATTGTCATCTTGGTGTTCGCGTGGAAAAACTGTTTTCTTTTTCATTGAGATAATTGTCATCTTGGATTACAAAGATCCGGTCTTTTATAGATCCGCACGGTTCGACAACCGTCCAAAAGGGCAAAATCCAACACCCCGCCTGCACGGTTCGACAACCGTCCAAAAGGGCTCAACTGAAAATCCTACTCCCCGCCTGCACGGTCCAACATGTGTCAAAATGCCGTCCTCACGACGCAACTACTCCAGCGCGTACACTTTTCGCTTTTACGACCCAACGACCTCCGGGATTTCCTCCGCCAATGGCCACACTCCGTACACCCGGGCATCTCCCTAAATTACCAAAAAGCCCTTCTTCACTCTTCACCCTCCTCCTCTGCTTCTCACCCTTCCTAATTATGCCTTCCACCGCGCAGCCCCCTCCCTGCACCGGGGGCCCCACCAGGCCCACCACCCCTCTCCTCTCCTTCCTCGTCCACCTCCAATCAGAAGCCCTCAAATCCCTGGGCCCCACAGACTTCGACCCCAAACTATACGTCGACCTCCCCCTCAGGCGCCCTCTCTCCGTCACCGAAGCCGCCTTCGCCGATCTCCCTCGCGTCAACGGGTCGATACCCGTCCCCGATCTCCACCGCTTCGTTATGGACTACTTCCGGGAGGCCGGGTCGGATATTGTGGAGGACGTGCCCGTCGATTTCGTGCCCGAGCCTGAGGGGTTCTTGCCGAAGGTGAAGAATGAGAAAGTTAGGGGTTGGGCTTTAGGGGTTCATTCTTTGTGGAAGAATTTGAGTAGGCGGGTCTCGGATGGGGTAATAGAGGATCCGGATTTGCATACCCTGCTACCGTTGCCGGAGCCCATGGTGGTGCCCGGGTCGAGGTTTCGGGAGGTTTATTATTGGGATTCTTATTGGGTTATCAGGTATTTTTGAGTTTTATACCTCCGCTTTTGTTTCTAGGAACTAGCATCATCAACAATCTGTTCCTGAAATTGTTAAATTTAACTAATAACTTACGGTACTGCAGTGGTTTCTTTGTTTTTTTAATTCAACTCTTTCAGTTTTGGGGAAGTTGAAAGATTCTTGTTTGATTGCATGAGCTTAAAACTATGTCATGCACCATGTACATCCCATGTTATCTATAATTGATTTCTAAATTTGTATTGCTTAGAAATTAGGAAACAATTTGGTTGGATCCAAGCCATAAATATTTGCCCAAATTCTCTTGCTCCATTGTGATAGGTTGTCATTATGCTAATTTATTTGTGTTTAGATGTTTTTCCTTTTTCCACTTTTAAATCATTCTGTGGTATGTGCATCTTTTATTCTGTTTTGCTTTTCATTAAGTGATACTATCTTCGCGCAGGGGTTTGTTAGTGAGCAAAATGTATGATTCTGCAAAGGCACTAGTGCGTAACCTTATCTCGCTTATAAAGGTTTATGGATATGTCTTGAATGGTTCAAGGGCCTACTACAGCAATCGGAGGTAACATTGACAATCCCTTTATATATGCATGTTGAATTGTTGACACATGTGCTTTGCCTCTGTTCGAGCAATTTAGAAGGCAGCTCTTTCTTTCTTGTTTCTTTTTCAATTTTAAGTTCTTCATATTACCAAGGAAACAAGGAAATTTGAGAAATATTAGTAGCTTGTTGTTGTTGTTTGTTCCTTTTATTTCTTCCTTTTCTTTTTTCTGATGTCAAACCTATTGATCCATAATTTTTAGCACATTGATCCATAACTTGAGATTGATCTACAACTTAAGATTCTTTTTCCTTTTGTACAATGATCAAGCAAACCACAGAAACAGATATGATGGATTTGATTCTCAAAGCAATGGCTATTATGTTCGAGAGGTTTTATTGCAGCATATAATTTCATAATTTAGTTCCTTGCACTTTGATAAGTAACTTCGTAATTTATAATATGAAGATTAACATCAAAACTAGTGGTTTATTATAAAAAAAGCAGAACTAGTGGTAGTTGCGAACAGAACATATGTTTTCTTTTATTGTGTTCTACGTTGATTGTTCTTTTATTGTCTTCTAACATAGAAGCGTCATTGTTTAATATGAAAAGCTTAGGGACATAGGTGGTTCCATCAAAGTAGAGAATAGTAAAGATTTAGAAGATTCTTCCATTCAACGGAGGTCCATTGTCTAGTTAGGGTATCAATGAGCTTGTTAGATAATATCAGGAGCCACCTTATATGTGTGTAGCCATCCTATATGTATGTATAGCCGCCTCCTAGTGTAGGCCTCCTAGTGTAGGCTATGTATGTGTAGCCACCCTATCATGAGCCACCCTATATGTATGTATAGCCGCCCCCTAGTGTGGGCTATGTATGTGTAGTCACCCTATATGTATGTATAGCCGTCTCCTTGTGCGAGCTATGTATATGTAGCCACTCGATATGTATAGCCGCCTACTAGTGTGGGCTACTGATTGATGGGTTGTCTGGTATGTGTATATATAAACCTGTAATTCTGATCATCAATATCAAGTTCTCTTCAATGCTAACTTTACATGGTATCAGAGCTAGTCTTGCTGATCTAGAGAGATCTATTCTTCTAACATCTTGAGCTGTCAAGGGGGTTCATCTCGACGGTAGCCCCAAAACTCCAAACCCAAAATTTCAGCCGTCCACCATTTCAACTAAGCTAGAAATTATCTGGCTAACATCCATTTAAGTCTCTATCGTCGATGCCACTATTGATCGCAACCTCAGCTTCGTCCATCAAGCTCCAATCTCAGATCAACCACCTTCGACCCTCAGCTTAGCTTCCTTATCGGAGCAGATCATGGACGTTGCTACTTAGTCTCCCTTCACATCAATGTGCTCCAATTCAACCACATCTCCCTAAGTCTCCTTTGATCGCTCCACTCCGGTCCCCCACGTCGGTAACTAATGAAGTCTCCTACGACCTTGATGCTCCTTATGCTCTCAGAGTCTCCTTCCTCGCTGACGAACTGAAGTTTTGCCGCCCCTGCTCAAAGACGCTGCTGCTCCATCTTCAACACAAGTTATTTGAGGATATCATTGCACCCCCCACTCATTTACGACACCTTTGCCTCCAGTCTCCATGATTGTCACTACTGCTAGTCGCTGCCTCCATGGTCCCAGATCTAGATATCACTACTGACACAAGTGTTGGTTGGTGTTGCCTCTTTGGCCATTGTTATTGTCATCTCCGACTACTAGCCATCTGGATTAGGTTGTCTCTGCTCTCGGTTCGCGTCTCTGAATAACCTCCGACGTCTTTGACCTCCTTCTCCGAGCTCTCCCTCATTTCACTTGAGTTCGAGATCCTGTTTTTGGAATCGTGATCGAGTCTCCTTCTCGCCTTAGTCTAGTCCTTGATCTCAAACCAATCAGCTGTGGTTCTCATATAAGGAGAAAACCTCACACTAAGTCCAACCTCGTCCAATGATATCAAGTTCTTTGTGAAGCTCCTCCCCCTCACCGTAATAATTCACGAGATCAATCTCACTTCAGCTCTGAAATAGTAAAGCGTCGGTCTTATTCTTTGCCTGCTACGCCTAGCCTTGAGGCTGCCTAGCAGCGACACCAACTCTATGCACCACCACCACTACCGCCATGCTGTGCTGATCACCCTTCGACCATACGCAAATGATAACCCTCGTCCCCGACTACGCGTCCTTCCTACTTGTCGTTTCGCTACATCTCGATTCCCAACGCTGACTCAGCTGACTACCCCACTTTTGAGGCCCGCTCTAAGACAAGGACGTCTCAGCATTGCTCTCGGGCTCGCTGATGAAGCCTTAACCATCACTACTACAAATCGCCTCTATCTTTGACAAACTCGCCCAAAACTCTGAGCTCGCCCCACCAATCTCAACCGTAGTGCAGAGTTATCTTCTCCCTCGCACCTGATCTCTGTTGTGAAAATCGGTGACCACCTTAGTCTCAGTTCATTGGCAAATTACAGACCCTCACTCCCAAAATCACTCGGGTTCAACACCGGGCTTTGATCGGTCACCTAAATCATCCCCCTCTTTAAGAACATGAAGGAGTCAATCTCGCCTCAGAGAGCCTATCTGATTCTTCTATTCAACCTCGCCTCCTTTCTCATTCCTTCACCTACTCTTTTCCTAAATTCTTCTCATTAATTAAGGAAAATTGGTGGCTGCTACCTAATTACCTTGGGGCTTTTAGACTTTGACCCACGTGATCACCTTGATGTTTGCACTCTTACTTTACAACTCAAGTCCATTTGTTTATTTGGGCGTCCAACGCAAACCTCAGGGTTGGCCTTATAGTACTGAACAATGGGTCGCTACTGCTGCATCTGCTGTAAGAGAAACTGCTCCCGATGACTCCTCTATTGATACTTCCTCGTGATCTGTGGATTCATACCGTTTAACAGAATATGACATACATTATGCGACCTGTGGTTACTCGTATGCTGTCATCCCAATTTCAACAAGCCTAAGCTTCCTATTCACCATTTGGGATACTGGCGGTATTTGTTTGTTTTCTTTATCGACTTCATGTCGAGCTTCTCCTCAATGTTCTATTGAACATCAGTATGCTTATTGGCCTTCAATCGAGCTCCTTATTCATATCGGCGACCTTTCAAAACCCATTGCCGTCACATCCGGAATTTCGGCTAAGACTCACGTCTCTTTCTTTTATGCGAGATATCTTCTTCACGGCCTCAACATCAACTATTGAGATTTTCCTCGCAACGAACCTCTTCTCTTCACTGTCTCGACATCGACTCTCAATATCTTCTCCGTCTATATACAAGGATTTCTATCCCTCGCCGTTCAATCTCGTTGCCACTACAAATTTCTCTATTGATGTATAAGGATTGCTATCCTTGCTGTTCTTTTCGTCGACATTGAGTTCTCCTCCATCGATGCTCTTGGATTCCTATCTTACCCGACCGATCATACAGCCATTGGGTTTCTCTTATCAGTATTCTTGGATTACATCTTATATTATCGATTTCGTCACCACAGTTAAGACTCTTACATCGACTCTCAGACACGTGTCTTTTGCAAATTACTGCTCTTTTTATCCAAACTCGGTGTTTGATCCACCGTGAGTTTGAAGGAGGGTGTTAGATAATATCATGAGCCGTCCTATATGTATGTGTAGCAACCCTATATGTATGTATAGCCGCCTCCTAGTGGGGACTATGTATATTTAGCCACCTTATATGTATGTATAGCCGTCTCCTAGTGTGGGCTATGTATATGTAGCCACCCTTTATGTATAGCCGCCTTCTAGTGTGGGCTACTGATTGATGGATTGTCTGGTATGTGTGTATATATAAAGATCATCAATATCAAATTGTCTTCATTACCAACTTTACAGAGATAAATATACACGATACAAGGATTTTATAACATGCCGCTCATATTTTATGCAAGTCGACTCTTAAGGTAATTCTAATCTTACAATGCCATTTTTCACGAAGTAAAACGCATTTATGAAGTCATCAGTTCACAATGCTGCTACAATATCATTGAAGCCATAATAATTCCATGCTAATGTGCAAACCAATGTGCGTTGTTTTGATTTGAGATTTAGAAAAAGTTATTTCATATTTTGTGGATCAATCTCAAGTTATGGATCAATGTGCTAAAAGTTATTTTAGTCCTCACTGACTTGGATGAGCTCAACTTATAACCCTACATGGGTGAAAATATTCCGTTCTTATCACTGACTTGGACGAGCTCAACTTATAACCCTACATAGGTGAAAATATTTCGTTCTTACAGAATTTTATAGAAAGATGAACTATCAATTTAATATGTGCCCGTTGAAACTATATGAAGATGTTTGGAATAAACTGGGCATCAAACCCTTTGTGAGGCCTTATGTTGCTTATATATATAGATAAAAGAATTTACATAATAGTCCCTCATGATACACATATTACATATTGATCCCTCATATCCTCTATTATACCCCTCCAATCTGGAGGTGCGGGTTAACCAACAAATTGGACATTAACTGTAGAAAACATTGAGTCGATAAGCCTTTGGTGAAGACATCCTCAAGTTGGTGTTGTGTGGGAACATAACGAACAAGTCATCATGTGCTACCCTCTCACGAACAAAATGATAATTGACCTTAATAGGTTTATTGCGATCATGAAGCATTGGATTGCGGCAACATAAGTAGCACTAATGTTGTCACACAGGAGCTTCGTCGGTTACTTGATCACAAAACCCAATTCGGCCAGGAGATAATGAATCCATATTGTCTCCGTAACAGTGTATGCCAATGCGCGATATTTTGCTTCACTGGAGGATTTGGAGACTATAGGTTGTTTCTTCAACTGCCAAGAAATCAAATTCGTCCCAAGAAATATCGCATATCCAGTGGTGGATCTAGAACTGTCCGGACAATCGGCCCAATTAGCATCTGAAAATGCAATAATAATGGAGGGCTTAAAGGATTTACAAAAAGAGAGACCATGATCATGTGTTCCTTGCAAGTATTTATAGAT